TTTAGGATGGCAGAGTTCCCTGCGGTTAGGGAATCAATTGGACAAGACGCGTGGGATGAAATCAAGAACTTACCTCTTGGAATAGTTGCTAAGTTAGTTGAAAGCAAATTCGTTTGGTCTGCTAAGACTGTACACTTTCTTTTGAGTAGTCAGTTGAGAATAAAACACAAGGAGATTTGGTGTTTAGTTGGTGGCCAGCCTATAAGGTTTGGCTTGAATGAATTTGCTCACCTCACTGGGTTAAACATAGATCCAATTCCATCAGAGAAGTTTGAACCTTCAGTTGAGTACAAACAATTCTTAACAGAAGAATTGAAAGTGCCTGGTGGGGAAGGTCCTACATATGATGAGCTACTTAAAGGACTATTAGTGTGCCGGAAATGGGATGTAAAGAATCGCAAATGGTTGGGGCTATTGATTATTCTAGCCATTGGACTTTATTGCGTGCATCATAACTCAAGGATACCATATGAAGCTGCAAAAAGAGTTATTGATGATGAATCCGTTTTGACTTATCCATGGGGTCGGGTAGCATTTGAGACTCTCGTCGATAATATAAAGTGCTTGAATCCTTCAGGTCAGACGTACGTGTTACAAGCTTGGGCATATGAGTCAATAAAATGCTTAGGAGAGCGATTTGGGAATTTAGTCGACAATGAAGAGATCCCGTTGCTTCGATGGCCTGGAAGTCGTACACGTGCAGCATTCGATTCGGCCATTGCTGAAGATATCAGAAAGTATGGTTAGGTAAGATTATAGCTGAGTTTTAAATGGGTGACTTATTTTTTGAGTTATGATTTAGTTGTGGCTGACTTATTATTTAGTTATGGCTGAGTTATAATTTACTTATGGCTTAGTTATAGTTTAGTTATGGCTGAGTTATTATTTAGTTATGGCTGAGTTATTATTTAGTTATGGCTGAGTTATACCTACTGATGTTTGTTTTGTAATGTAGCTGCGTCTGAGTAAAATGGTGATGAAGGGTGATGTAAGTGACCTATTTCATACGTGGCCAAATCAAGAAGAAGAAGACCCAGAACTTTTCAACTTGGTCAATGACATACATGAGGATGTGTTTGTTAAAGGTCTTTGGGATGTTAAAGTGAATGAGAAGAAGAAAGCTGGAAATGTTAGAGCAGCGGTTGAGTCTGTTATTCCCGCTAAGAAGCAGAAAGTCGAGAAGGATGATGATTCTTGTGCTGGAGAAACACAGAAGAAGAAAAAGAGACAAGAGGAAACTGAACAGAAGAATAAGAAGAAGAAGAGTGAAGTTAAGGTAAGTTATATGTTATATAGTCATATATATTTGCTATGGATTTTCTCGTTTTGATTATCAATTTTTGTGTATGTTTTGCAGGATGATAATGAGGAGGACGATGGTGGTGAAAAGTCGTCAATTAAATTACTCGTGGATTTGATGTCTAACATGAACTCAAGGCTGGTTAGCTTTGACGATAAGTTACAAAATGTTAATGTTAAGTTGGAATCTGTTGATGATAAGTTCAAAAATGTTGATGAACAATTCGGTAAGATGAAAGGCATCATTACCATCCTTGCCAACAGTGGAGGTCTATCTGGTCTCATGAGTGGCAAAAAGATTCCTGATGGCGAACCATTACCAATCAAGACCATCTCCAATATCAAAATTAGGGATGCTTTTGAGATAAAAAAAGATCAACGGACACCTGAATTTCAACGGAAAAAGACAAGCCAAGACTACTCTGTTACTAGTCCCCCGGTAAGCTATTATTATTATGGCTTAGTTATTATGGCTTAGTTATTATTATGTTATGGCTTAGTTATTATTATGTTATGGCTGAGTTATTATTATGTTATGGCTGAGTTGTGTTATATTATGGCTGAGTTATTGTATGTTACGGCTTAGTTATTGTATGTTATTGCTCAGTTATTGTATGTTATGGCTGAGTTATTTTTATTTTATGGCTCAGTTATTGTATGTTATGGCTCAGTTGTTTTGTGTTATGGCTGAGTTGTGTTAAGTTATGACTGAGTTATTATAATGTTATGAAGTTGCAGGTGAAGAAAATTCAGAAAGAAGGAGAAGAAGTAGATCAGAACAGTGATTTTCCTCGGTGCACTAAGGATCTGAATAAGGATTTCGATGAGGCCATGCCAAACAAAGTAGATCTTGCTGATTTCATTGAGAAGTCTCCCTCTCCTGGTTTTAAGAAAACGCGGCCTTTCACCAGGAATTTAGAGGCACAACAAAGGAAAGAAGCAGAGGCACAAAAGAGGAGAGAGGTGGCACAGAAAAAGAAAGAATATGCACAGAGGAAAAAAGAAGCAGATGCTCAGAAGAGGAAAGAAGCAGAGGAAAAGAAGAGGAAAGAAGCAGACCAAAAGAAGAGGGCTGAAGCTGAAGTATATAGGAAAGGGGAGCCAAAGAAGAGAGGTAGAAAGCCTAAAGACGTGAAGCAGATCAAAGTAAATGAACTTTCTGATCAGTCAGAAGATGTTCAGGAAAGTAGTAGTAAGATTCCTCCTGTGAGGATAAAAATCCCAAAGGAAGAAAAGGTAGCAGAGGTTAAGGTGGTTAAAGAAAAGAAAGAGGACAACAAAGTGGACAAGGAAGCTGATGACGATGATGTACAGGATATCACAGACAATAATCCTTTGGATACTTTCGAAGTCTTACCTGAATCTGATGATGATGAAGAAGAAAAGATTAGGAATGAAAGGATCAAAGCTATAAGGACAGCAAATGTGAAGTTTGCTGCTGATGGGAGTGCATTGGTTCCACAGCCAAATCCTCCTGTTTTTCCATTGATTGGAGATAACGGACTTACCTGCATGAGGAAGAACTGTGTACCTTCACTTGCAATATATGATCCTCTCGCCCCTGTTGATCCGGCCAAATTGCAGAGAGTATTGGATTTCTTAACTCCACACAAGTATGTCATTCCTACTTATGATTACTGCTTCTTTACCCTATCTATATGTATTAAAGTGTGTTGTTTTTTAGGGATATCCCATGTGGCTCGTCTTCACCTGACATTGAATTCTATAAGATCCTCATCACTGAAAGAAAATATTGGCCAGTTAAGGACACACAGTATGGATGGCTGACGGACGAAGTAAGTTTTACATTATGTAACGTAATGGCTGAGTTATTATTACTAATGATTGAGTTATAATAATATAATGGCTGAGTTATTATTACTAATGATTGAGTTATTGTTACCTATGGCTGAGTTATCCTCACGTTATGGCTGAGTTATAATAATGTTATGGCTGAGTTATTATTACTAACTGGTTGAGTTATTGTTACCTACGGCTGAGTTATTATTATGTTATGGCTAAGTTATTGTAACGTTATGGCTGAGATATTAGGTTACGGCTGAGTTATTATTACTAATGGTTGAGATATTCTTTTTTTTTACAGCATTTGGCTGCGTATATGAGACTCCTCAGGAAACGGTCCATGGAAGACCCCACCCCATACCACACTAAACGCATTTCGTTTATGGACCCGTGGTTTTCTGCTTTACTAATTCGGGATTATAATGAAACATTCATTAGTAGACCAAAAAGGTTTAAATTCGATGGACCCTATGAGGAGTGTGTGAGGGGTAAAATTCCGCAAGATCAGCAAACAGGTCTGATGTGGGTACAAGATGTGGATGTACTGTATGCAATTACACAAACCGGAGGTGATCATTGGGTGGCGCTAGAAGTGAACCTGATTAAGAGCCATATTGATGTATATGATAGCATTGTGGGACACGTAACACCTGAAAGTGAAGCTAGAATCATGAAGTCTGTTAAGCCGTTTGCGCGGATGATCCCAAAAATGCTGAACGCAGTAGTCCCTCCCTCACTCCGTGCACATAGTTCCAAGATGTTTTCTTTCAGAAGGAGGAGTGTCTCGAAGGTCCCTCAAAACAGAAATCCGGGTGACTGTGGCGTGTACGCTCTTAAATATTTGGAATGCCTAGCGCTTGGTGTAAGTTTCGATGGCCTATGTGATTCAAATATGCAGGCTATACGGCTCAAGATGGCCGCAGACAATATGGTTGATGCTCCAAGTATGTATGACCAGTTTGTATAATATTATTTTCGTTGACTTATTATGCTATTAGAATATTTGTAGTTATGGCTGATTTGTGTTTTGGTAATGACTGGTTTGTGTTTAGTTATGACTGATTTGTGTTAAGTTATGACTGATTTGTGTTAAGTTATCAATATAGTTATGGCTAAGTTATGGCTGAGTTATTATAATGTCATGGCTAAGTTATCAATATAGTTATGGCTTAGTTATTAATAGTTATGGCTGAGTTATTATAATGTTTTGGCTTAATTATAATATAGTTATGGCTGACTTATATAAGACATATTAAATTTAACAATAAACACCCATTTTTAATTCAACAATAAACTTAATATTAGGGTATTAGGATATATATTTTTCTATATATTATCGTGGCTTTGTAATATAAAGAAGATAAAATTACAATAATATACAAGAAAGAATTGTATTACGTTAGTGTATTATACTATCTGCCTAGTAATGGGACAAGCATTTAAGGGTAATGTCTCTTTGTAGTAAATATAAGTCTTAAAATGTATAAACACGAGCTAATGTAATTATATTCATTGTGACCTTGAATAAACATGTTATTTCCATCTCAGCCTGAGTTATGGGTTTTGAATTTGAGATTCGAGGTTTGGCTTAGTTATTGGAGTTTTATGGCTGAGTTATTTTCATCGTTATGGCTGAGTTAGATAAATAACACGCCTGAGTTATGGGTTTTGAATTTGAGATTCGAGGTTTGGCTGAGTTATACATAGACATATTTTTGAGGTTTGGCTGACTTATTGTAAATTAAATATGTGGGTTCTCGGAGACTAACCCAGACGACGTCGTTTATTGTTTCTTCTTCCTTTTACACATAATTGAGAAATCAGATTGGGGATTTAGGGTTCTTCCAATTTCTGGGTTTCCCTGCGATTTTCTAAGTTCCAGTTCCCATCTTTTAATAATGAGCGACTACTCGTCGAGTTCGTATCGTTCGGCACATGGTGCTTACCCTCCAGATCTTCCGACGAATTGCAGATGTTGGTGTGGTAACGATATCATCACATACATATCGAAGACAAAGGAAAACCCTTACCGTATCTTCTATAGATGCTCGATTGCTTTGAAGGTAGTAATTTTCATTTAATTGTTTATTGCTAACATATGGGTTGAGTATCGATGTGAATTTTTTGTTTTCTTGTTAAGCAGAGGCCGAATGAATCACATTTCTTCAAATGGGTTGATGAGGCATCGTTAGAAGAAATTAAGATGGTCGACGAAAAGGTAAAAAGAATTGAAGAAGATGTGACGGACTTAAGGCATAATGTTCAGCAAAATTTATATCTCCAAAAAGAAATGGGTAAGAAGCTCGAGGAAAAATTGACGAAGAAGATTGAGGATGATATGGGTAAGACAGCTTTTAAGACAATTTGTCTACTCTCTGTAATAGGAATCGCAATTGTATGGCTGTGGGAGATAATGTAATTGTTGTTTGTATCATGTTCATCATGTTTAGTCTGTTTATGGTGTAATTTGTGTTCCTTAACCAGCAATTTTAAGAGTTTTTTGTCATGTTTAATGAAAATGGGTTAGTCTGTGCTCTGATTATGTTACGGCTGAGTTATGGGTAAGTCACAGTTCAGTTATGCAAAGTAACGCATAGTTACGGCTGAGTTATGGATAATTCACAGTTGAGTTATGCAAAGTAACGCATAGTTACGGCTGAGTTATTAGTTCAATTATAATTCGCAATTATATAACTATAATATAGATATAACATAATATATATATATATATATATATATATATATATATATATTTGCAGCAGATATGCTAGGTAAGATTTATAATCTTGAAAAAACAAAAAAATCCACAATTATAACCAATTCATAATGTATTGCTGGTTTTGACTAGAAACTAGTTTAGGGTATAGGAATATAACGATGTTGTTAGATAGTTTTGGAAAAGTATCCAACAAAGTCTAAAATATTGATGAATAATATGGTACAATGATTGTATCATATTTAAGTTTAGTATTTATGTGATTTCATAACTTGATTATCACAACAAATTTACATAATGCATATTTGAGGTTTGGCTGACTTATTATATGTTATGACTGACTTATTATATGTAATGTCTGACTTATTCGATAATTGCTTTTGTGATTTATAACTCAGCCGTAACGTGACCTTTCGTCTTCTTTTTTTATATGATAACTCAGCCGTAACATACAACCTAACCGCGAAAACTTAAGTTAACCATCGCGACCTTTCGTCTTCGTCTTTTCTCTCTTTCCTCTGAAACCTTTATAAATCAGTTTTCATATACCATAAGTCTTTTCCCCCATTCATTTCTCTTTATTTCATCTCTCATCAACATGGAAGTTGTTCCTCCTTTGCCAGGACATATTCTTAACGAGATTCACGCGATTCTTGCGGGACCTGGTCGGGATGATCTTCCCTTTCTAAACCCTGGTGTGGGTTTATATGATGCTTTCATTGACAAAAAAGAACCTATGTGGTTCAAGTTCCTTCATTTCCTCTACCTAGCGATAGAGCCTATACTTCGCAAGAACTGGCACCACGAGTGGCCGACTTATCGCTTGATTCCCGCACACTTCAAGATACGATGGTTTAAAATCCTTCTGGTAAGCACCATATTTTTAAAACCCATTTTCATTCATATTGTTCTTTTCTCTTCACCTACTTTTTATCTTATATGTAGCGCCAATACAACTGGAAGCCTAGTCAAACATTAATCGTTTGAAAGCATTTTAATCAGACTGCTAGATCAAGTTTCTGTTGGCAGATGCGTGCGCTGAGGAGGATGTGGGCGAGAGGTGACGATAAGCCCGAGTGGTTGAATCCAATTGTTTGGGCAAATTTGGTGGATATGTTTTAAGAATTTGGTCCAGACGATCTCGGATGGAATTATCTTTGATTTGAATGTTGTTCTCAATTTCTTTGCTTTTGGATGTTGTTTCTTCTTCTTTTTGTTTTGCTTTTTGAACTTCTTTGTAACCCAAAACAACAATCTTTTCTTTTAAATCATGTTGTTTCCTCTTTTGAATCATGTTCTTTCTTCTTTTATTAAGCAATTAACCAATCCTCATATAACCTGCTAAAAATGCGAATAACTCAGCCGTAACTTGACATAACTCAGCCGTAACTTTAAATCATAAATCAGTCGTTACATTCGACTATAACATAACTCAGTCGTAACTTGAACTCATTTAGCAGTCGTTACATTCGAATTAAACATAACTCAGCCGTAACTTGAATTATATGTTACGGCTGACTTATTAATCACGAGAACATGAAAGGTCGCGTCACGGCTGAGTTATGAATAATATTGGGCTGAGTTATCAGAACATAAATATTTGCGACAGAGTTACCATGTAATGACTGACTTACTTATATATGATGGCTGAGTTAAATAGATGTTACGACTGAGTTATTGGTTACATATAACAAACATTGTCTACAATCAAAACGAGAAGTGCAAGCCAACAATACTACTTCCGAAAAGTTTTTGCATTATGCCCAACTTCTTTACATCGAGAACAGGCGTGTGGCTTCCTAGGGCGTTTATTCTGAAGTGAAATTTCCACAGCAGATTTAATCCTGATTTTCCTTGGCCTTCCTGGCTGAGTTGCAACGATCGGAGGCACGCACGGTTGGTTAGTTACAATTTCAGGAACAGGGAGTGCAATATCCGGTGGCATTATTGAATCAGCATACGCGTTAACCAAATAACTTGTCCGGTAGTTAGGATCGGCAAGGGAAATACGAGACACACCCATATGCTCTGCAGCTGCGATTGCATGGACGCAAGGTATTTTCTCGTGGTCGAAACGACGGCATGTGCATCTTTTTGCATCCAAATTTACAACATGCAAAGATGTTCTATATTGTACTTGTACACGTAAAGCATCAATCGGTTGTACTTGCATAAGTCTTGATGCATTTACACGGCCCTATTAGAGGGAAGAACAAAACATAAAGGTTACGGCTGAGTTATATTCATAATGTAAACATTTAACGGCTGAGTTATATTAATAACGACTGAGTTATGAGCATGTTATGGCTGAGTTAGATAAAAAATGACTGAGTTACTCAAAGTAGCGACAGAGTTATAAGCATGTGATGGCTGAGTTATTGAGCGTTTACCTCTAGCAGTTTTTCAACACCTCGTGAAAGCTGAGTTAGCTGTGATTGCGCATCCTCTCTCCGTTCAGCAAACCATCTAGTCATCATATTCCGTATGGATTCTAACAGTCGAACTATGGGAAGACTTCTACCTTTTGATAGTGCTTTGTTCATAGATTCCGCAATATTCGAAGTCATTAGGTTGTACCTTTCACCTGGGAAATGTACACGCGCCCACATTTGCACCCCAGCTCTTTGGAGATATCCATGTAAGCGCTTCAATCTCATTGAATGTTTCTGTAAAATCAACTGTCCGAAAACACCTAGCCGCTTTTTTCACAAGTGGGAACAAATGTTTCCCTTTGAACTTCACCAATATGTTCTTGTACAAATGATAAGTGCAAATTCCACGAGAAGCCAACGGATACACTTCACCAATTGCTTTCCCTATGGACTTATGTCTGTCCGAGATGATCGCAAGATTCCTGTCGTCAGGAATAGCAACTTTGAGTTTTGTGAAAAACCAACGCCAAGAATCATCATTTTCAGTGTCAACAACACCGAAAGCTATTGGGAAAATTTGGAAATTTCCATCCTGAGCTAGGGCTGTTAGAAGCGTCCCTTTGTAACTACCGTGGAGAAACGTACCATCCACAACAATAACTTTCCGCATGTAAGCAAACCCAGCAACACTCGCACCAAAAGCAAGGAAGACATACTTGAATCTGTCACACTCATCAATTTGAAGACACGTTATTGTACCCGGATTTGCCCGTCTTATCATGTATAGGTAGGATGGCAATTCTCCAAAACTTCCCTTGGGAGTTCCCATGTCGATCTTCCTTGCAAACCTTAGTGTCTTGTATGACTTCCAATAATCCATCTGTAGGCACCAACGTATTAATAAGTCAGCCGTAACTAAATATAAGTCAGCCGTAACTACATATAAGTCAGTCGTAAAAAGACCGAAACTCAGCCGTTATATTACGATAACTCAGCCGTAACGTAATGAGAACCCAGCCGTAAAGGAAAGAAATCTCAGCCGAAATAAATATAATTCAGCCATAACCTAATAATAAATCAGCCGAAATGGATATAACTCAGCCATGGTATAAAGATATATCAGCCGTCATTACCTTTATGTTAAAATGCTTACTAATGATAATTCCAACGCTTTTAGGTTTAACATCAGGACCAATGTCACCAAGAAAGTCCCTGTAAAGAACTCCCAAAACATCAGGTGTTGCTTGTTTTGATCGATTAGACCTCTCCGTCACAGAACATGTGTGTATCGAATCATATATACGAACAACAAAACCAGGCTCATCTCCTTCTGTAGATGCACGAACTCTCCAAAGACATCCTTCAACCCAGCACGTAATATTCACTATAGTCGTATTTGATTTTGGTACTGAAAAATCAAATCCATCTCTCACCGCAAGAAGTTTCGGCCGTTTCTCCAAATCGGCTTTGCTCGCGTATCGTTGTCCTACGACGAGGTTTAGCTTAGACATCTCCACCCTTAACGACTCCGAGTTCCCAATCGATCCCACTATGCCAAAGTTATGAGCTCTGTTTTGAGTAAGAGACGGTAAATCTTCATCGTTCTCCTCATGCTCGCCGTATGCAGCAAAGTTATCATCATCAGATGACGCACCATCGGAGTCGTCGAAAACGTCAAATCGGGTTGAAAATTCGTCATCTTCTTCTTCCTCCTCTGCTTCTTCGTACTCTGCTTCATCGTCATTGACTTCATCTTCTAGGATATCACTATAATCATAACAGAAACCATCAAATCCTCTAGCGTCTTCTTGGTTTTCTAGGGCTGAAGAAGCCGAACTTCGTGGCCGTTTCGACCTTCCATTCGATCCGGCCTTCGTCTTCGCAAACTCAACACAAAGTCTAAGTTGATCGTTTCTCAATAGGTTTAGATAACAATGCAACTGTCGATCATTCGAGACATATACTGGGGGAGTATCATGCGACATATTTTTCATAGCCTTGTACGAGAGCATGTAGCTCATCGTTGCCTTATGGCTCAACTCATCCAATCCGTAGTCATCAAGAACCAATTTCACAAGCTTCTCGTGCGTTGTTTTCGCATCTACCTCGACAACTCTACAACCTCTATCGTCGGCGTTAAAAACAAATTTCGCTTTCTTTGCCCATTTACCAGACACAACAATTAATTGAACCGGATGATCCATGAACGAAAGTGAAGAACAGAGGTTAAGAACTCAGGTGAGAAACAACAGAGTGTAAGAAAAGAAAGAAAGAAAACGAGGGTTTGAAGAGGGCGACCTTTCGTATTTCCCTCGTTGATGACATGGAATGCTGACGTGGAATTATGCATTTGAAGTCATAATTCAGCCACCAAACAAATAAGTAAATCAGCCAAAATAAATCAGCCATCAACACAACTTAAGTCAGCCACAACATGAAAAATATTTAAGTAATTATTAAAATGTTTTTGAAGATGAAAAACTCAGCCGTAACGTCAATAAGTCAGCCGTAACGTAAAATAAGTCAGCTGTAACTAGAAGGCTATATGAGTAATAAATCTTTCGTCAATAAGTCAGCCGTAACATGGTTGAGTTTTCCGTTAAGTCAGCCAATTACGACTGAGTTATGTCTCTGAAACATAAGTCAGCCGTAACGATATTTGATAACTCAGCCGTTGTCGATAACTCAGCCAACCGGATAAAGATAACTCAGCCGTGTCGAAGACATAACTCAGCCAGACTTCTGATAACTCAACTAACAGACTATAACTCAGCCGTAACGGCGGCTGAGTTATTAGATGTTTTCTCATAACTCAGCCAGATTTTAATAAGTCAGCCGTAATTGTTGGCTGAGTTATGATCTTAAGTCAGCCGTTGGTTCGAAACTCAGCCGTTGGTCCAGAACTCAGCCGTAACGTGACATAACTCAGCCGTAACGTACGTTATGGCTGAGTTATTGGAGACACGCGCCATTTTGCCTGACGTGGCGATGGCATTTTTCGTAATTAGTTTTTTCCGATAACGTGTAAAAAGGGCACGCTGGTAATTAAAAAACATTTAAGAATAAAAAAAAGTTTTGGTGCATCGTGGTCAGAACAGCTAAAATATGGTCTATCTAAGTAATTCTCCCATACAATAAATCTGATTTATTACAAGTGCTATAGATGCATGAAGAGTACTCAGAAGTGTGGGGAAAGACTTGTTGAAATTGGGTCCCAAATGGGCTAAGAACTCGGAAACATTGTGTTGAACCACTAAATGACTTATCTAGTGTTGTTTAGGGTTAAAATATGTTAGAATACAATAACTTTGATTGATTACAAGTGCTAT